CAAGATCATTTTGTTTATAGTTTTTGGGTAACAGTTCCTTCATTACATTCCATAATTATTTTTATTTTCCATTATTTGAGAGTCATAATATTTTCTCTTTTCATTTCTAATAGTTTTAACAGCCATATTACGTTTCTGTTTATATAATTCTTTATTTTGTTCTGTTTTGTTTAATACATAATTTTTGTAAGCCTTATCCCTATCTATAGTTGCTGTGTGCACTGTGTCATTCCACCAAACTCTAAATTTTGGAAAAATCTTAATAGTTCTCTTTGGTGCCACCTCATTTAAAACCCTCATTACTTTTTCATAAAAATCCTTATATTTGGCATTAATCCGTAATCTATAATTCCATTCAACTTTAGATAATTTTTCATTAATAGTATCATAATCGATAATTCTACCTCTACTTTCAATTAATTGTGGTTCCTTGGTTAGTGCCAAACAGTCTAGATATATTAAAATATTAAAATGTGTACTTATTCTAGGCGATGTAACAATTACTACCCTAATATTTTCAGAATTAGTTATTACAAGATCTATAAGTGAGCCACCATTATTACTATTGGAGGGATGGGTAACTTGTGAAACAATATTTTTCAAACCAATGTCAGAAATACAATTTTTTAATCTGCTACTGTAAGTATTGTCATGCATCAAGTCAATGTTAAAATCACCTGTTACAATTATATTAAAATCACAATCACATAAAAAGTCATCTGCAAAATGTTCAAAAAAGTCTAAAAAATCCTTACAAGAACTACTAGGAGATCTGTATAAACTAACAACTAAGTAATTACTTTTTTCAAATAAAAATTTCAATAGTATTATCCAATATTTTTTTTGTGTACAAAATTTTTTAAAACTCAAAACCTTTAATTGATTGTTTATGTAGATTAAAGCCCCACCAGTGTGCCGACTATCACTATTAACCCTATAACTATTATAACCATTTATAGTAATTTCAGAATCGAATATTTCATCAGTAAGATGTGTTTCAGAAAGGCACAATAATAATGGTTTTTTTGACGTAACTATAGCTGAAATTTCATCCAAATGACATAGTAAACTTTGAGCATTAAGTGATAAAATGAAACATGCAAAGTTTTTATTTATTGTTTTTTTAGATAATAGTTTAGTTTTACTGTTCCCTCTGTTTAAGTAATGTGAATAATTTTTTTGTTGGATGGAAAATCCATATTTTCTGTACTAGTAGGGACTGTTATATCACTTAAAATTATAATCTTTTCATTGTTATTTGATTTAGGAGTATTTCCATCTATGCAAGCAGTTTGATTATCAGTTTCAATAAATACTAAATTATTTCTGTACTTTACTGAACATATTTTATTTTTAATCAAAAATGCTAATTTCTTATTATTCAATCTATAACCATTCTTATCATTAACATATAAAAAAGAGAAGGAGTTTTTTTGATACCAGTTTATATAACTTATAAAACCTGATAATTTAGAATTGAAATTAATTATTTGTTTAATATTAGTTTTAAATTTAGGTATTGATAGAAAAATTAAATTTGTGTGCAAGCACTGTTTTAATTTATAACTAATATTCTTAATGCTAGGATACCTGTTTTTTAATATGTCGTTTTTTCCTGCCATAATAACTACATAATCATTTGAGTTAAAGTTTTTAGTAAGATTTTTAATATCTTCTAGTATTCTATTAAATTCTGCTCCTGGTTTTAAAATTATTTCAATTGACGCACTTTCTCGATAAAAACACTTTCTTAATTCCCTGTCCAAACCTCTTCCATTTTCATCTGATAATATCAAAATCTTTTTCTGTTTCTTGGCATTCTGTGGTTCAATGTTGTCACTTTTAAAACTCGTATTCTTGATGTCAATGTGTAAGCTTTTTAATTGGTTTAGGTACATTATATTGTCTTTTGCTAAGTTTTCAATATCTTTCATCAGCTTAACGTTCTTATTTTTTAATTGATTAAGTTGATCAGTCATATTTCTTTGGTTGTCTTCCAATGCAAAATTTAAAACTCTACATTCATTTATATTTTTACTTACATCCATAAAATTTTCGTTTTCAATTTTAAGTATCCCAATGGTTTTCTCATAATCAATATTTTCAGTTTCCAACATCCTTATTGTTGTTAGCATGGTCCTGTTTATAGAATCCAACTCCTTGACATCCAGTTGCAGTTTTAATATCATCTCATCTTTTTTCATTATGGTTTTATCATATTCATTTATTGCACACTGTGCACTTTGAAGTTTCGAGTTGAGAGACTCAATTTCCCTATACTGCTTTGTAATTTTCGCTTCAAATGTTGACTCTGCATCTATTACTAAGTTTTCGAAACTTTGACTGCTTCTTTTTAGTCTTTTAATATGGTCTTCTTTATCTTGCAGATTTTCCTTTAGTTTGACAATCTCTGTTTGGAAATTTTTAATTTCAACTTCTTCATAGTTTTTTAGGTTTTCACATCTGGATGAGCAATATACCTTATGGTCCTCAATTTTAACAGCTTCCTTGAAGTCTCGATCAAGGCAACTCGGATGCAGGACGTTAAAGCAACTTATACAAACCAAGTTTTTGAATTCTTGTTTGTTATGACATTTAAAATAGGTCATTTTATTTCTAGTACGCCACTGTATTATTTTGTAAATAGTTATTTATTTATCAGCTGGCTTCTTTACTAATTGAACAGATAACAATATCCAGTTTTTGTATTTAAAGTTAAAAAAAAACAGAACACTTTTAAAAAATCCTTGTTAAATGCAATTTTCAGCTTTACTGTAATTGGCACTTTTATAAGAATTACATATTTGAATTCACTATGATTTTAGCTATAATTTGATACTTTATTTAATTTTGTATGATGGTTTTTACCACCAAATCTGAACACTTCTCGGGAGCAATGAGAAAAACGTACCCACGCTCTTATTATCAAAGAAATAAATGGATAGGTGTACAATAAGAAGAAAAATTACCTTTATTTTTGTAATAATAACAGTAATGCTGGACATAGTAGACATCAGAAACTTGAAAGGTTTTAAATAAACAATAAATTATAATTTTACGATGTTCTTTAATATCCCTTTATTCTTAAATGTTCATTCAGCAAGGACTAGATTTCAAGATTTCTGCCTTTGATTATTATATGTGGCTGGAATGCAATTTTGTGACTTACTGATGGGAAACCAGTTTTAATTATTCATTCTATGTTTTCTTTCGAACAAAAATGAAAATATAAATAACGATCCTTTTTTATACATTTTAACTTCACACCATTATTAAATGTTATTTTTTATTTTGACAGAATAGGCTAATTCTTCAATGACAACTTATTAGACTTAGGCAACTTCTCATACATTTTCCAGTAAATACTGTTGCTTGCCTATATTTTATTATTGATTTTTATTGATTATACATAATTTTCTTTAATTTTAGCGGTAAAAATATATAATAATAATTAAATTAATGTTTTACTTGTTTTACAAATCCATATACTTTTATTAAAACTAATATATAAACTTTTTATTTACGACTTCTATTCAAAATTGTATTTGTCAGTATACGCAGAAATAGTCCATTAGTACCAAAACGAATTGGCGCTGATGTCGCGCACGGAGCGAATACAAATTATATCGTCCCTGTCCAGACAAAGTATCTTATGCGCCATTTAAGTAATTTTACAGGAAACACAAAAAAGTTTTTTTGCTTTTTTGGAGATATATTATTATCGAATGATATATTACTAGAGATAATAAACCATGATTTTAGGGCTAATTGCTAAAAACTACTTATTGAGTTAAATAAAGTTCACTTAAGATATTTCATAAAGGATTTTTAATGTGGCTTCGATGATATTATTTAACTACCCACGTGCGTTAAAGACTAACGCTATAATGTGGAAAATATCGTAAGCGAAAGGCGCATACGTTAATTTACACGAATAAAACAGGCAGTTGCAATATTTCATAACCTAACATTTCCGCAAATGTTAACAAATCTCATATGAGATTTTACACAAAGAATAAAGGCATTAAATTAAACCATTTAGAAACACTTGAAATAATTACTTTTAAAAATTCGGATAACCTCTTAAATGATCAATTAGGTATTACCTTTATTAAATCTCTTTTCCTGATGTTTTCAATGAGATAATCCCGGTAATGGTAGTACCTTATTGGAATTTTATTGATATTTTTCTTAAGTACGTTGACTAATTAGTTTGTTTTGTAATACATTTATTGGACACCGAAATGTAAATAAGTCACATTTGAGGAATTAGTTTTTCTCATTTTAATAATATGGATTTTCATCAAGTAAAGGCCGAAACAATCAAGAACTTATTTGTTTACCATAAACAAACATTTTGAAGTTTCCCTCACTTTATAATATGATGTGTAATAAGTGAATTGCTACATATTATAAATTTCATATATTTCCCAAAAAGTTGTATACAAATGAGAAATTAAGTTTATCTTACATTTAAGTACTGCTTTGCTTGGGAATCCATAATCAAGTATCAAATTTATAAAATTAAAAAAATTCCAATACGCACTTGATTTTTGGATTTTTTATTGAATAAAGTATATCAAAATAACTTAAAAACAAGTGCAATAATTTAAACTTTTCTTTTTAATAAAAGTAATTATTTTTAATTTTTCCTGGTCACTACTATAAGCGAGACTAATTTTTTTTGTGACAAATAAAATTTTCCCTTTTGAATACAACTTTTTGGAACACTCTGCATATTGAAATTTACCTGTATTTTTTTATGGATTCACATCCAAGAAAGTAAAACATAAGAACTATGTTTAGTGGATCGTCATTGTAGCATTTTTTAAGCCTTTGGTTTTGATACATGATGGTATATATGAATTTAATATAATGAATATTTTTTAAGAACTACTGAACGTACGAGTAAATGATTCTCTGCCTTAAACGCCTGTTATGTTTCATCATCTTGACTTTTTAAAGTAGATGAAGTACATCTATTAAATGTTATTTTTCAGAGGCCAAACTTAGGATAGCGGGGCACCATTCAACAGATAATAAAGTTTTTGTTCTACCAATAAAAACAGAAGCTGAGCTTCCTTTAGAAGGTGAAAAAGAGTCAACTATAGACGACTACGAAAATGTACCCGTTGGTGATTTTGGTCTTGCAATGTTAAGAGGAATGGGCTGGAAAGAAGGAGTTGGAATTGGAAAAAATCCAGCTACGTAAGTTTACACAAACTTTTAAAACTTCATTTTATATTTGTTATTAACAGCTTACACTGTGGATGTCTACTGTACTTTAAAAATTATTTTTTAGGTCATCATTATTTAAGCCACCTGAATTGAGACCAAAGGGATTAGGGTTAGGGGCAAGTACTATAGCTAATTCTGATCAGAAGAATAAACAGGTTGCAGATAACAATGGGGAAGTTTTAATTCTAAAAAGTGGTAGCTATGCCAAAATTGTTGCTGGCAATCAAAAAGGAAGTTATTGTGAGGTAATTGTTTTAGATAAAAAATTCAATAACAAAATCTAATTTAGGGTTCATACTGAAACTTTTCTCCATTTAATAACCGACATTGTATATCTTGAGGTTTACGGGATCTCTGTATAATAAAATTCAATCCGGTTCACCCTGTATATATTTTGCTCTTTAATTGGTTTTAGATTGGTAGATATTAGCATTATAACAGTGTTTTTGTGTTTCATTTAGTGTATTAATGAATACACAATTTTTTGTTTTACCTATGTAGATGCAATACCTATAACATGAATTCAACAATATTTAAATTTAAAAGATTAGTTTTCCAAGCTGTTATAAGTTAACACTCACTGAATACTCCTTTTTATTTGGTTTATATTTGGAAAATAATTAAAACTTAAGCTTCCACCTGGAATTTCACAAATAGACACACCCAGTGATTATATAAAAATATTTTTGTCTTAATTTCGGTCTACCATAACATAGTTGACCGGGTCCAGCCGTCACTGCAATTCATTCTTAAAATATGAATTTCGGGGCTAAAGTGTTCCAATGGAAATAGGCTTTACTTTGAACTATTGCCATATGGATAAAACCGGCAACAAATATAATCGAATTAAATTACGGGTTTTGAGCTTACATTAAATTGTAATTAGATGAAACAAAATGGATTCTATGTATTTTGAGGTGATCTTTTCGAAAAAAGGCAAAACAAAATGTAGCAGTTTTTCGAAAGAGCCGAAATTTTGGATTTTGTCAATTTTTCAATTTTGCGCAGGCGCATATCCGAAATAAATCAATATTTTTAAAACCCATTTTACGACATTTGAAAGCTTAGGAAAAATGCTAATTTTTATGTCTCTTGAGAAATTTTGATCCGATGCACCGTTCTCGCGGTATGGACGATTTAAATTTCTTTAGTATTTTGAGGCGACGAAGGTCGAAAAATTGAATTTGTTAAATGTTCAAACACTAAATTCTTTATAACATTGTTAAAAATTAAGATATTTAAAAAAACAAAAATGCGTTTTGAACTTAAGGGATGTGACTAGTGATTCCCAGAAGGGGGCAAGAGAAATCCCAAAATTGGGCATATGGCGGAAGGGCAAAATGCACCGCGGTCCTAATTTCATTGTTTGCTTATAACGGCCAAACTATTTTAATTTTTTTAATGCCACTTACAAAGCTTACTCTTAAATGTGAAATCTTATGTGTGTGTGAATTTCACCGACATCGGACCATAATTGGCTAAGATATCAAATAATTAAATAATTTTTTTTTTCCTTAAATAATTTTTTTTTTTTTTTCGAAAGTTTGAAGTGGCACAAAAATGCCAAAAATGCACCCAATGATTCAAAACTTTTTTTTTTGAGTACTCTATTGTGTCTAGAATACGATTACATTACGGAAAATTCTGCAAATATATTTTATCTAATTTTTGACCACTGTTCATTGAGTGACGACCAAAAAACACGGGTTTTTGAGAAAAGTTGCCTAAAATTGACAATTTTTAGTTTTTTTGCCTGAAAATTAAACAAACCCAAATTTCATGTCTTCTAAATGTGTATACAAAGTTTAAAGTGTGTATGTTTCATCTAAGTTGTAGAATTCTCCCGACAAAAGTCCCATTACACGCGCTCCGCGGGATCCAAAACTCGTGTATACACTACATTACTTTAATTTGATTTTTTTGCGTTTTCCAGTTTTAAATTTCTTACATATCTAAACTTGTTAGGCTTAAAATTTATTAAATTGTATTTTACTGACTTGTTATAAGACGTTTCTTGAGTTTTGTGCAAAATATAGAATTACCAGATATTAACGAACAAAAAGCAAGCTTATCACCAAGTTGGACTTACACTCAGGCTTAGGATTAATTTCCTAACATTTTTAAAGTATACCTATTTGTGTATTTTTTTTGTGCTCTTTTCGATGGCGAAGTTAGTTTTTTCAAATATATTTTTTTGTTAGATGTTTTCGGAAAACCCGGAAAAAATCATATGGGAAAAAAATTAAAAAAAAAACTACGCCTCTGGTTTCCTGCGAATTCCCGAAAAATTATGTCAGATTTCGCCGCGGGACTTATTTTATTTGAGAGCCAACAAAAAAATACGCAACTTCTCTCATGGGCACATATGTCTAACATTTATAATTTCGCCACAAATTCATCGCAAATTTCATGTCCATGGTTCTGATCAAAAAAACGAAAAAACGACTTTTTGGTAAAAGCACTTCTGGCGGCGAGAAATTCGCCATTAAAACTACCTGTGCAATGAATTTCCAAACTATTTTTGCCTCCTCTTTCGAATGGTGCATTTATTTTCACTATCGGAATGATACTTGCCCAGATAATTAGCATTTTTACAATGGAAAATTCTGGAAAACCCGGTTTTTCCTAATTTAAAAAAAATTGAAAAACTGCTACATCTTTTTTTTCTTTTTTTCGGAAAGATCACATCAAAATATACAAGGTCCTTTTTGTTTCATCCAATTACAAATGAATGTAAGCTCGAAGGGGCTTTTTTTCGTTATTTAATTGGACTAATACAGTAAAAGTAAGGTAATAATAATAGTAATAATAATCTTTATTTCAAAAAAAGTTGACAGATACAAACAAATATTTATAACTGACAGCACAGAATAAAATGGTGTACAAAGCAATACAATTTTTAATTTAAATTAGAATCTAAATATTTGCTAATAGAGTAAGGTTCTAATTCCATAATTAGTTTTTTAATTTCTTTTTTTAAATCTATTATTTAAGAAACAATTTTTTATTCTTAAAATGTTGTAAAATTTTATTGCCATGTAGTATGGAGATTTTTCAGTGATTTTTAATTTATGATATGGATAATTTAGGTGATTTTTCCTAGTGTTATACTTATGAGAAATTCCACTATTATCAAAAACGTCTTTGTTTTTATTGAGATACATTCGAAAATATATAAACCATAAACACTCGAGATGTTATTTGATTTAAACACATCCTGCAAGATTCATCAAATTTCATATCATTAAGTATTCTCACTGCTCTTTTTTGTATTAGGAATAGTTTTTCGGCACTGCTGCTACTGTCCCAAAAAAATCTTAGGACAGAATCAAAATTGGCAAAATAAAGTATCTTAGAGGTTTCCTTATTCAGATACTTAGTGACAATTCTTAGTCCATAAGTTATTTTGCTCAGTTTCTTTGAAGTTTCATCTATAGGTTGTGACCATTTTAAGGGTTCATCGATAATTAGTCCTAAAAATTTTGTATTATCAATTATTTTGAAAGAAACGTCATCATTGAATTTAACTGTTTCGGGTTTTCCATTTAAAATTATTGTTGAATAGTATCGTGTTCGTTTTGGTTTCATTTAAGTTATAAATTGATAAGGGTTGAGGTTGTTTTGACACAAGTCATTCATGTATATAATAAATAACAATGGCCCAACAATAATTCCCTGTGATATTCCTACATTTGTTGTGATTATAACTGATTTGGTTTTTTGAAAATCATGGATAAAGCAAACTCTTTGCTGTCTATTTTCTAGATAAGATTCTATCCATTTCAAATAGTTTCCCCTTAAGCCATATTTATCCAATTTAATTAACAGGAATTTGTGGTCAAGAGAGTCAGTCATGCATTCGACAGATCAAGAAACATACCAAGCGCCAGATATTTTTCTTACATTAAATTTATGATATTTTGTGTAAATTGAAATATTGCTATTTGTGTAGATTTTCTGCTTAAATAACCGTGTTGGTTATCACTAAAAAGTTGACATTTTTCTAAAAAAGTTTAAATGCTATTGCATTTAGCGATTTCAAATAACTTAGAGAAACTAGGTAAAATTCTTATCGGTCAATAATTTTCTAACAACTGAGAATCACCTTTTTTATATAGTGGTTTAACTATAGCTAATTTTAATTGAGTGGGAAATACTCCACCTTTGATTGAGTTATTGATAAGATATGCTAAAAACCTCACTTAATAACATTTATAGTTTTTTTTAATTACACATACTGGAATTTAATCTTCATTTATTTTTGATTTTACTTCCTAACTCTACAACGTTGCGGGTTGGGGAGAGTCTAGAGAAATACATGGACTCTAAATTATAAGGAATGTTACAATTAAATGGTATATAGTTAGCTTTTAACATAAACTCTGGAACAATTGATGTTAAATATGCATTATAATCATAAGCGTTTTTTTTTTTTGTGGGGTTTCTTTCAATATTACAATTACTTTTCCCCTTTCTGGTGATTTCATTACTTATACTCCACATACATTTAGTTTTGCTATCAGAGTTATTTAGTCTTCTTTTAAAGTTTTCTGATTTAGATTTAACCAACAAATTATCATACTCTTTTTTTAATTTAAGATATTAATTTTTTAAAACCGGATTATGTCTGTAGAGTATTAGTAATGTACCCAATTTATTTTTTATTTCTAAAATATTTTCCTTTTTTAAGTAATTGCATTTTTTCTTATGAAGTTTAACACATTTTACAGTGAAACATTCATTGAACAAAGCACAAAAATAATTCATGAACAGGTTCTACTGTTCATCAACTTCTGAAACCTCAAAATCATAAATTTCGATCCAGTCTTGAACATTAAGTTTACTGATAAAATTATTTACACTTTCATCACTGAAACATCTTCTATATACATTACTAATTGGTTTGCGGACTTTACTTCAGTGTTACAATTATCTTGAAAATTCGTAAAAACTTCTAGTATTGCTAGTGATTCTTGTTTATTCGTATATTACGTGATGGAGATTAAAAGAGCTTGTTACAGCCAATAATTTAGATTTTATATTGTTTTCATCTTTTAATTCAATATTGAAATCGCCTGCAATGAATATAATTTTTTCCCCATCTGCAAATTTTAGTTAATAATTCACATTCACTGTTGGGTTCTAATTAACAGTGCTGTTCCTAAAGTGGCGCCTGGAAACAGTAACAAAGCCTACACAGAACACGAAGCGAAATAACCAGAGTAGTTGAAGTCGATGATACGCACAAAAAAAAATCTGATAAAGTAGCTTCTATACCTGAGCACTCGAATTCACCTTCAACTAAGAGTTTATTTAAATTTTTTAGAGACCTGTATTTAATATTATTTTTGTAGTAAACTGCACTTCCTCAGCTATCTGATAATTATTTATGTTGATAAATCTCAGTTCAGTTGATTTTCAGTGTTCAGTTGCACAAATAAAATAACATCTAGGATTTTCATATACAAATTTTTCAATTTTTTCGACACCGTTACCAATAGATTGCATGTTTTGATGTAATAAAATTTCATATTGTTTTTTTGACCTGTTCTCTTCATTCTGTGTTTTCATCCTTATGGTCTAAGATCCGAAGTAAGGTCGACCTTTACTCATCTGTTTATTGGATGAAAGTTTCTTTTTATTAAATAAAATATGTTTATAAATATACCGCAAATGGGTTGCCTATGAAAATACGGTCCAGATTATTTATTTTCTTAAAGTAAAAAACGACACCCTGTAAAGTATTCCTCAGATGCTTCGACTATTCCAAAACTTTAATCTGCAGGATGGATTAAAGCCTAAGTTTAAAATTTGGTGTTTTTGTCTTCATCCGTTTTTTGGGCTATCTTCAAAATTCGAAATTTGCAGTTTTCCTCAAATATCTCAAATTAGGTCCATTTTAGAGAAATCATGTAATAGGGACAAAATATTAGAGAATGACATCATAACCAACTTTTGTCATAATTCCTATATTTTCCTTATCTGTACACAGAAGGGAAAGTACAAAATGGCTGTGACCGTATTTTCTTAGGCAACCCATTTGCGGTATATTTAAAAACAAATTTTTAACACGCTTTTATTAGCTTCACCTCTATGTATGTTTGTAACTCTCCTTTGGACTAAAAGCAAGTGGCTTATTACTGTCAGTATATCCCACTACCTCAAGTTCGTTCGTTGGCCGAGAGGTCTAAGGCGCGGGACTTCGATCGCCAGACTCACCGAATGTGGGTTCTAATCCCGTCCACGGCTGAAAAAAAAAATAATTGTTTTTTTTTTTTCAGCAATTTCATCTTACAATTTCTTTTTTTTTTTAATAATTAATCGAACTAAAAAGTAAAAAATAAATATAGTTTAGTTTAAAAAACTAAAAAACACGCTTTTAGAGCATGTCAAACTAAAAAGTTAAAAATAAATTTTCAAATAAGCTTAAAATAATAATAAATGTAAAATACTAGTATTATTGTGAAAAAAGCGTGTGGCGTTTTTCCATATTTCTCGTACATCGAGCGCCCGACGCTTTTTTCACAATAATACTAGTATTTTCCATTTATTATTGTTTTAAGCTTATTTAAATTTGAAAAATTATTTTTAACTTTTTAGTTTGATATGCTCTAAAAGCGTGTTTTTTTAGTTTTTTTTAAACTATATTTATTATCTTTTAAGGACATTAGTTTGTCTGACAAAAACTGATTATTTTCTTTTAATAATTTATTATTTTCATTTCAAATTTCAATTTTTTGATCTTTTTCTTTTAATAAAGCTTTTAGTAATTCATTTACCCTTTGTAAATTTTTGATAAATACCTGATTGGCAATTACATTGATATTTTCTTTGGAAATATTTTGCGGATCTTCACAACAAATAATCTGTGTGTCACATAATTTTATGCACTGTAGATTTTTCACAGCTGCACAGGATCCATGAAATAGATTTCCACATTTTATACACACTAAAACTCGCGTTACTTTAGTTTTACAACATTTAAATGATTTTTCTCTGAAGTTATTTTCATTTACAATACAGACTCATTGGCCACCTGTCCGCCAGATTCCGCCATCTTGCTTATAGGTAGGTAAAAGATAGGTTTGTTCCAACTTGGTGTTTGGTACCGTTCTTGTATCATACCAACATCAGTTTATGAACGATGTACTGCGCAAGCCCATCTCTGAATGGTTTTGGAATCGAAAATGAGTTGGAACGCTTTTAAAACTGCTGATGGTTCATAAATAGATAAAATAGAAGAGGAAGAAAATTCTAACCAAACTTTTCGAAAAGAAAATAAAAATAAACTAGTTTTCTGTTTTATAATTATGGATGTTATTGATTTTTTATTGTATCATTCTATATTCTAGAGCACAATGGAAAATATGGGTAAATAATGAATGTATTCTGTTCAAATAATTTTCTTTATTATCCTTTCTCAATTTACCATTAATTCTAAATCATCGTCACTAGCATCATCATCATCAAAAAAATCACTGTCTCCTTCTATATCACTGATTTTCCAAATATGATTTATAAACAGTATTTTCTAAATAAAAATGCATATTTTGTTATTATCTACCTATCAAAACATAAAAACGCTGTAAATATGTAGGTTAAGTTAACTAAAACTAACCTCTATCGGCTCTATCAACATATATCGATAGTTTTGCGCAAGTCAGTTCTAACAGTTCCACAAAAATTTGTGAATCGATATGACGGTACAGAAACGATTCCGGAATCATCCATTTTTTAGTTGGAACGAATTCTGTATCAATCCGCACATCGTACAAATTAAGTTGGAACGCTTGGAGTGCAATACGCATGCGCTGTACCGTTACGGAATGGTTATGTATCAAGTTAGAACAAACCTGATGTGTATTTAATTCTCCCCGTTGGGAGCTGGCCGTTCTAGGATTTTCCAAGCCTCTTCAGTGGCACTATCGGGATCAGAGGTCTGAGGGGATTAGGTGGATGGAATTGTGATAGGTTCGCTTCCTTAAATTTATAAGGTTCTATGTCACATGACGTGATTTGAGAAAAACGGGTCTAAAGTTTCACGTATTGTAAATATTGGGATAACGAATAATTTTTTTGTATGTGCTTTCTGTTCATGGAACTTTTGTTTAGTATCAGAAACTTGCGTTATTTAAATAGACAGGTGCTAGAACCTTATACCAGCTGTAAAAGTAAATAGAGTGTCAACAAAATGATACTTATTAGTCCTGTGAACTTGCGTCAAATTAACTCCAAACGAACAAAGCTGGAATTTTGGCAATGCTGTAGAAAGTAAAACATTAAATTATTGGTCAAGAAGTGGCACAACTTTCAAAATGCTCATTTTTATTAACTAATGAACTTTATAACAACAATGCAAATAAATCCACTAGGTCCCTTAAGCTAAGTATTCATTAATATAAAACCAGGAAATTCTTTCCTACCGGATGAGTCCATTCATTTTTTATATAAAATTTTTGATAAACGGACTTCATAATAAAGGAAAGATTAATAGGTTAGTGTAATTTGTGCAATTGCACTAGCAGTCATATTCTGGAGTAATGTTAAGTCTATTTTGCCTCATTAGGAGATACCTCCTCGTTCTTATTGTTTGAGATCTCAATAGTGTACAATTCCATTTTGCGCTATCCTGTATATCACATCATATCATATTTGTATAATACATTTATCTTCTACCTGTCTGTGTAGCAAATATTAAAATTAAAATAATATTAACTATTTTTGCTTTAGGTACAAGGACTAGATGATGAAGCAGGTAGAATAATAGTTAAAACTACTTTAAAAGGTAACATTTTGGCTCTAAATGAATTCATGTTAGTTGCTGTAACAAGGGAAGAATATTCAAGGAACTCGAAAACGTTAAGTGAGTAATAAATAGCGATAATGTTAACGATAATATTGCCTTAGTTTATTACATGGAGTGATCCATAAAAAATGTTTCTAAAGTAGGCATTGGAAAAATTTACGCATGTCGGAACGTACAATTATTCTTTTGTTAAGGTCTTGTCGGTCATGGCCTACTTTAGAAACATTTTTTGTTTACGCAACAAGGCTGGATATGAAGACCATATCGTTATTGACAATCCAAAATATTTTTCTATTTATCCAGTATTCGTGATTTTTATTAGCCATATAAGTAATGTCTAAATACATGTAAATTATTGATACTAAGACGGTCTTTATAGCCCCCTCTCCCAATTAAAAAAGTATCTCGCTGTAAGTGATCTTTCTAACTTGTACTCAGTACTGGGAAGTGTAGTTTGCAAATATTGTTTGCTTACGTATTTTTTACAGATCCTGATTATTTGGAAAAGGAATTTACTAGATTCATTTTTATATTATAAATAGGGCCTCAAAATTCCTCCCATCTTATCGAATTCAATTTAAGTTTTTATTTTAATAGTTGAAGTTGTACTTTTTGTCAGAACAATTCTATAACAATTTGAGCAATAAAAGTATTTATTTGTTAAAAAATATATATGTAATTTGGAAAGTATTTAAGTCTTGAAAGGTATTCAACTGCTCGAATGTAAATAATGGGAATGTTGCAAATCTTATAATGCCAATTTTGAAGTATACTTGCACTTTCTTCTGTCTTAAATAATACGTTTTCCAACCTCCATTTTTTTTTTATTTTAAAAATTTATTCAATTTTTAACCAACTTTAAAAAAAGGAGGTCTCAATTCGCCGGAATATTTTTTTATGTATGTTCAGCGATAATTCTTTACTAAGTTGTTTGATTTCTATGATCAGGGGTGGTCCCTTATAAATTTGGTCAAGTTCTAATGATGAGTTCTATGGGAAAAACATCAAACTCTTAATCTTTTATGTATTTTTAGCGATAATTCTTTACCACGTTGTCCGATTTCTATGATTATTTTTTTGTTTGAAAGGGGTAGTCAGGATCTGATGATCTCTGAGAAAATAAAAATCTCAATTTTTAAGGAGATCTGCACGATTTTGAAATCGGTTTTTTAATTAAATAAATATTTGCTATGGCCAGTTTAATACCTACCTTGTAATGTTAATTTAAAAACTGTTTTTATGATTTTGATGTTTGTTGTGACACCACATCAATTTGACTTCTTACCAAACTGTTATAAAGTTGGTAACATCCCATTAATTTACAAAAATATTTTTAGACCAGTTGCCAATAATTGTTTTTAATGAATACATTTATCTCATCAATGTACTTATTATTTTATGGGTTGTTTATTTTGATTTTTAAGATAACGCCAAATTTGATGCATACAAGGAAATGGAACAAAAAAAACGTATGCCTGAAATGAAGCCTGAAAAAAGTAGTATAGAAGATAAAATCAAACAGGAAAATGGTACAAAAACAAAAAATGAAAAAAATATTGGTAACTATGAAAAATCAGAAGCCAATTATAAAAAAAGCTTTAGTATAAAACCGGAAAAATCTAGTGATGATGAACGAAAAAGTAAAAAAGAAAAATCATCAAAACACAGAAAAAAAGACAAAGATGATTCTTCAGATTCAGATAGTGATTATGAAAAATCTAGAAAAACCCACAAAAGAAAAGATAAAAAAAGGCACCGAGATAAAAGTCGGTCTCCTAATAGAAAATACAAAAGCAGCAGAAAATCATCAAGAAGCAAACACAGATATAGTTCTTCAGATTCAGATTCTGGACATGAACTAAAATATAACAGTCACAGTAGGAGTGAAAGTGATGATAACCGACATAGAAAAAAAAATAAAAAACATATTTGAAGTGTAATAATGTTTTCCTTATAAATATTCTTTCATCCACTTTTACATTATATTTAATATAGCAAACTTTTTGGTATAACAGAAAAATATGACTTTTATTCTTAATAAAAATAATCCTGAGGCTAAAATCAGATTGCTCCACCGACATGGCCTGATTATTATCGAAATTGAAGTTTTACTTAGGCCCTCTACCTATGGTAGTATTGCATTCGTGCAGACAAAAATAAATTATTGGTCCCACTTTTTGACACTTTTCTTCACGTTTCCAATCACTAAGTCCGACAATGCAAAAAAAAATTCGTCTGGGTACATGAGCCTGCAAAATAGCTCTGATCAAATTGGGGTTTTGATTTTACTACATAATTTCTTTGAGCCGGTAAACCTATTGATTTTCAGAATTTTCGGTTTAACTTTAGTGCTTTAAATATCAGTGTTTTTAAAATTAAATCCATTTCTTATGTAGCTTATTGTATGCGCAGCGATACGGGTACTGGATGTCACGATTTCAATAGATTGCCATGTATGCCAACTAAACAAATGATAACGTCTTTTAAAGGATTTTATTTGAGTGTTTACTCAAGTGAAAGTAAAAATAATTGTTTTGAATTGAAATAAAGTGAATATTACTCGAAGTAATGATGATTTTTGCATATCTGAATTTGATATTAGAATCTAAAACGTAAGGGCCTAAATATTATTTTTATATGGACAAGCTTAAGGGATAAAGATCCCACATATACAGGGTGTTTCTGAACTTGGCGTCCAAATTTGTAGGGGTGGTACTTCGCATAATTTGATATTTATATATTTAAAATAAAAATAATTAAAAATTTTAAACAGGTACGGTCCTGCAGAGCGATACGGCACCTCGACTCGCGCGCGCTACGATCGAGTTCTCCGTAAGTTTGCTTAGAATCGACAAAATAATATTTGATAAATTACGAATGATATCTTTTTCAAATTTATTTAATGTTTATTTATTCCATATGGTCTCTAAATGTTGAGTATCATGGATAAATTATAAAAGTAAACCGTGTGAAATTGCTAAAAATAAGTAGGTATAAATAAAATTCTCTGAACGTGAGGTAAACAACCCTACAAAGCAATACGCACTAGAAAAACAATCGGTTACGTCTTTCGATACCGGCCGGGCGGAGGGAGAAATTTGCTAATCGCATCTGTTTTTGAGTTGTAAATGCCGATGAGTAACTGACTATTGCACTACGCGCTCAGGGTAGGACCCGCTTTTTGATTTTTATAATGGCTCTATTTTGTTTATTATAATTTTTTTAGAAAAATGAAATCTGCCAATCGCTCTCAAATTATGCGAACTACCATCCCTACAAATTTGGACGCCAAGTTCGGAAACACCCTGTATACATAGGCGAGTTTGGGTAAAGGGTCAAATACTTTTACCTAAGCAGACATACCGGATAAGGGACCAAATATTTTTATTTTACCAGACTTGAATCTAAATGAACTTGTATTATATTAAAATTTTAAAATGTAATATTTAATTATGGCTTGTATCATAAGTTGGTTTTTCTTTATTTTTTTTATTTGGCCTTCGGTTAGCAACGCCATGCAGCCAATTACTAAGTACGATAAGAGGTTAAAAGTAAGAGTTAAGTTAAACAGTTATAGCCTATATGAAGTAAATTGTTAAAGTAAAGTAAAATAACAATAATAAAAAATAAAAATAAAAAAATCTTGTATATGTATATACATTTATGTATATTTTCCTTACAGTTTACGCACTATATTGATTCCAACTATTGGCAACGCTGTAATATATTTACAACTGCTACCGTTTTATTGTTTTCCATGTATTATGTAGTTTGAATTTGAAATTCACTGCGCTCAGTTCATTTCATCTGATGGATTATAGATGAATATGATGGATGTTGGCATGATTCATGATGGATTATGATGATGAATGATAAATGCTGGAGAATAAATGATGAATTATAGATAATGGATATTTGGATGATAAATGCTGGATGATGGATTATGAATGATATATGATGTACGATGGATGGTGGACGGTGGATGATTGGATGTTGGATGATGGATGACGGATGTTAAATGATACATGACGAATAACTTATGTTAAATGATGGATGATTGGATAAGATGGATGATGATGGATTGACGATGACGAATTATATATGACGGATATTAAATGATGGGTGACGGATATTAAATGATGGATGTCAAATGACGGATGACTGATAATGGATAATTGGACGATAGATGATATGTATGATTTGATGATGGATAATGGATGACAGAAGAATGGATGATGGTGGACGATTGGATGATGTATGATTGGATGATATATATTGGATAATGGAAGATAAATTTTGGTTACTGGATGATGGACGATTGGATAATGGTTGACTGGATGATGAGTGATTGGATGATTAAATGACGGATAATTGAAGGTGGGTGATTGATGCTGGATTATGAATAATGATGATGGAAAATTAACGATGAAATATGGCTGATAAATATGGATAATTGGATGGTTAGATGATATATGATGAATGATTGATGGATTATGATGGAAAATAATTGGATGATGGATGATTGATGCTGAATTTTTGGATGATGGATGGTAGATGACGGATTATGATGGATGTCAGATGACGAATGTTAAATGATGGAATATTGGATGGTGGAGGAAGGATGATGAATAATTGGATGATGGACAATTGGCATGATTGGATGGTAGATATGAAGGATGATTGATAACGGATGTTAAATGGTGAATGACGAATTATGTATATGACGGACGTTAAATGATGGATGACAAATGACGGATGATTGGATAATGTACGATTGGATGATAGATATTGGATAATGGATGGACAATGGACGTTGGGCAATGAATGATGTAGATGGTGATCAGAAAAATGTAGTTTTCTTACAGAGTTGCGAAATGAAGATTGGCTGAAGATGAAGGCGTTTGTGTAAAATTTATACACAAAAAAGTTTTATTGTATTTACTAGTTTTTACCCGCGGCTTCGCACGCATTTAGGCCGTTAAATAAGTATCAGAGATCATTAAAATAGAAATGAATCAATGTGATAACTATATTTTATTGTTTGGCTGGGATCATCAATTTTAAAAAATTACTACATACAATGAAGTTTCAAAAACTTAAAATATGCTTTGAATTACAACAACAAATGTTAAAATATATTTCTCTTTAACAAAAATAAATAATTTTGAATGCTGCTCTCAAAACACTTTGTCGCTGTGCTTGCTGTTGTCTTCTCAACCGAAGATTCGTGATTTCATGCAACTTTTGCTGCACGGGTCCGGGACGAATTTTTCGATAGATCAAATTTCCGCTTGCGATGCATTTTTGAAGAATAACAGAGCAAGAATTAAAATCAGTGAGTGATATCTTAAATAATGAAGTGACATGTAACCACAAAAATGACACCTAACCTCAAAAATTCAATAGTTTTATGACAGAAGAAAATATCAATAAATATAGAAAAATTTCAAACAGCTGAAACTATACTCAATTGGATTGGATATTGACGTGACCGTCGGTAATACAATGTGACGATATTACAGTACTCAGGGTTGAAACTTCATTACTGGAATGCTAGATGGCGTTGAAGTAGCTAGATTTTGAAATTTCTTGACAAACAATTTTTTTATCTTTCGTAAAAAATATATATTTTTTTTAAGTATCCTATGTCACTTCTAATACCTCCAAAAATATGTGTACAAAATTTCATGATGACCGGTTAAGTAGTTTTTGCGTGAAAACGTAACAAACAAACTTACTTTCGCATTTATATTAGTAGGGATGTACGTATGTTCAAGGGTTAGCGATGCTTTTTAAATCTTTCCAGATCCGTTTCTGCGAGGCAGATCAGTCCCCATTCTGAACTTTTTAAAACCATTTCGATCTTGGATCTCAATTTTATTATTTCTTGTATTTTTATATTAGTTATTTGTTTTCTCAGTGGAATTTTCTTCGTTTTATTTTATTTTTTTTTTTTTTTCATCGTCATTCGTATCACCATAATTATTATTCACACATATATTCTGCTTTATTACTTTTTAACTAGTTTTCATTATTTTATTTATCTGTTTAATTTAACGTATTATTGCATTTAAAAATATCTTGTTTTCAGTTTTAAATAGATGTATTTCACTTGTATTTAAATAAAAATGTGTTTAATATATTTTATTACGTAAAAAAATTTAAATTATTTATTATTAACAGATGAACAAAAGTAAAACTCAGTATAAATATTACAATATTACAAATTTTGGTTGATTCGACTATAATACTAAATAATAATAATAATAATAATAATAATAATAATAAATTGTTTATTACAAAATAAAGTTACAAAATTACAAAAAGAGAAAAAAGATTAAATTTATGAACTCAAGTAATAAACAACGTAATCCATTTAGGCCCATTAGGCCTGTCTGTGGTATAGCCGTTCATTAAAATAATTCTTATAATTTAATATTAGCAATAATATTTCTTAACAAAAAATTTAAACAAAAAGAGTACTGTTGAAAAACATATTAAAAGGTAAGTACATTTATAGCCTGAAAGCTAATCTAATATAGTATAAAAAGTAAAAAAAAAAGACAAAAAGATGAACATTTGGTGAGAGTGTGTGTGAGAGAGAGATATGGATGGATGGACATAGATAGAGAGAGAGAGAGTTGATTCATAATTCAATTGATCTATATTTTTTAATAAATGAATTTATTTTCTAGCATTTTATAAATTTATTTTTTTTAATTTTATTCCATTATATCGTCAAAATTTTCATGAAGGATCCATTGTTTTAACTTGTATTTTACTATTCTAAAGTCTTTAATCTGTCTCAGCTCTTGCGGTAGCTTATTATATAATCTTGGTATAACATAAGTGTGACATCTTTGACCTAAGACTTTATTCACTCTATTCAAGTAAACATTATTTGCTATATTTGATCTTGTCAAATAATTATTGTGATTAATTATTGTGGATGTTACAATACTATGTTTTATTGCAAAAGTCAGATATGTTTTGACAAATAATCTTA